ATTTCAGGCTCAAATGCCTATTTTAACTAAATCCAAAATAAGTCATATTATTCCTTATTGCACTGTGGACTTTGAAACATATTTATATTGACTTTGTAAAATTCTTTTTATACGCATTTTGCTATGGCTCTGTTTCATAGCTTCTTTGTTATCTTGCCTCCCACTTTTGGTAGGTGTTGCGTAAAGAAAGAAGAGATGGCCTTGAAGGTAGCTGTACTACTGAGCTGTGTGCTAGGAATTGGTACCCTGACCCTGGAGGATCCTGAAGATGGAGGCAAGCATTGGGTTGTCATTGTGGCTGGTTCCAATGGTTGGTATAACTATAGGCACCAGGTGAGAAAGCTTTGCACTCCAATTGAACAATAACTGGGTAAATGGAGGACTTCTTGCTGAATTGAATGGAATTTTTGAGGATTCCCGCTACCTAGTTAAAAATGTCAGTAGACTACACTGAGAATGTCTTGTTAGTTGAAGTTTAGCCTACTCAATGCACTTTCTTATTAACACTCTCCAGATGTATAATAATAGTGAAATAACCCAGAGCTAAGATTTTTAAGCCTGAGCTGCCTATCAAAGTAACTCTGAGAGCCATCACTGCAACCAGTCTTCCATACTTCAGCTTTCAAATATTTATTCTTACAACTTGAAGAAACTCGGTAATATGGTAGAGGAAATTGTTTTTGTTAATTGTCTTAACCGTCCTCTTGAGTAGAAAGGCATAATAAATAGAGTCAAAAATATTGCTATCATTCTGCTTGTAGCACAGCATGATTTAGATTTATTTAGACTTCCCAACCCATCTAGAAGTCACCAAATTGGCACCAAATCTTAACATTTTTAGCAAAGTTTCAGACACTTAAGAGGTTTTGCGTTCATTCCTTCTTTGCTGTAGTTCAGAGTCAGAACAGACTATGCTTTCTCCTCATTTAGTACCTGCATTCTGTTCCAGTGACTTGGTCATTAAGTAATATTGTCACTAAATGAACATGTTGCAAAGATCACTGGTTGCTACCATCTCATTCAGATAAAGTTCTCTGGTACAATGTCCAACCTGTTTTTCGTCCCTTTTTTGCCCCCTCATAGGGTGGAGAGATTGCTTAAGCAAGCTATCTCTTCCTGAACTGCTTTTCTCCACAGCACAGAGCTTCCCTAAAAATTGCTAATGCAAGTTAACAGGCTCGGGTCTGTGACCTTAATTAGTTAATTAGAATCCTGCTGCCTGAAACTGACCAGACTTTAATCAGTTTCACATTGTCAGGAAATTTTGTAGTGAATGCTACATAGGTCTGAAATGATTTTTTAATTACAATTTATAATCTTGGTATTTGAGAATGGTCACTAACTAAGATAGTCACCAAGCAAGAAGTACTGTAAATAAGGCAATCTGGTAGGTTTTGCAGTTCCTGTTCAGTTTTGTAAATATTAAGTACAAACCAGGTCAAAGAGAAACAGACAGAGTAAGAGATGTATGGAGGAGGAAGCTTGAGGTAAGGAAAATTTCATTGACAATCACATGAAGAGAAGTTGCAACAGAAGATGTAGAAACAGCAGCCCTCAGATTCTGTAGAAAGACATGTTTACCTTTTAAAAAAATGTTAAATAAGAGCAGCAGTGATTTTTATTGTGAAATCTTCCTCTCTTTTGCACCAAACTTGTTTGTCCTTATTGCAACTAGAAACTTGTTGACGGAAGAGGAAAACTGTATTAAATTGCAATTGGCCAGAATAACTTTGGACTATTTGGATTATATTTGGACTTTAGCTCCCAGATTTCTTCAGCTGGCATGAGAATTCTGAGAATTGAAGTTCACAGATCTTAAATTTGCCAAGATTGAGAAACAATGCCTAAAAATTGCTCTGTCTTCAGATGTTTTTTAATTCCCTAAACTTTACTTTTTATTATTAATCCCCATCTGTTCTGTGACATTTCAGTATGTAACATGGCTAAAACGTCTCTGTAGATCTTTATTCCACTATGCTTGCAATAGAGAAGAAAATGGAAAGGCTAGCATAACAGTGACCTCTGCATTTTGTGTGACAAAGTTGTCCCAATATTGGAACATAAATACACATACATTTTCAGAATTGTTGGATTAAAAAATGCTGTTCATTCTATGTGTTTCTGAGAAAAAAAATATTAAAGAAAGTACTGATATCTACTACAGAATGGTGTGGGGATTTTTTGCAATAAACCTTTTGTCTTATTGAATTTTAAAGCACTTGTGAGAGTCATTCATTACAGTGTTCTGTGAAAGTTAAATGTTGAGTAATATCCGTTTCTTTCTAAACCAGGAAATTAGAGAACTTCAGATATTGAACAGCATCCAACAATATGAACTTGGCCAATTGTTACTTTGGCTTAGCTATAGGTTTAATTTTTGTTTAAAGGAATTTTCCCAGTATTTTGCAAATCGTATAGAAACATTTGCAAAATAAATAATCTCTTCTCACCACTTTTTCCTGCTCTTTATTTGGAATAAGTTAGACTTACTACAATAGACTCTCTGGAATGAAAAAAAAGTATCTATGGTTGTGAGCATATAGTTTCTTTGGAGGGTGACTCATAATTTTGCAGGTGTTGGCTTGCCCTTCCCAAGCAGTGACCCACACAGCAAACCACAGGAATTCAGTGAAGTGTGAATGCTATAAAAATGGTCTCAAATTTGGCCTTTCTGTCTTCAAAACTGTGTTTTTGCAGTTGCTAGATACGCAAACGGTACAAGCTGCTGGAACTGGAAAGTTCTAGAATTACACCTGCAAATCATCAAATCTTTATTATGGTCAAAGGCCACCATAAGGAGGGTGAAGTACAATCAATTAAAAAGCATAGAAAATACATCAGAGTCTAAAGAATAGTAATTATAAAAAGTTAAAGAATATAAAACAGAAGTATATATAAAGCAAAAGTCTAAAAAGAATCTAAAAGGAGAAGTTAGAAGCATTAGATTGGATGTAGGGGGCATAAAAATTAATAAGTGGTAGACTAAATGTATCACAGTACAGAGCACTCTAGGACGAGGAACTAGTGCTCATTGAGACTAGTTTATGGCACAGATCATCAATTTTAAGCACTGCTGCATACAAAATGGCAACGTATGTTGTATCGGTCAGTATCTGAAAACAGCAGGGAGATGTAGATTTCTCCTATGTACCCTGGGTAATGTACAGTACACTGTACAGTAATGGTGAGATGAGGCTAGTACAAATGTCTCTGTAATACATGTACTGAACAAATACATGTTTTGTTATTTCTGTGTGTTCAGAGTCACAGAAATGTGTAGAGAATTTTCCTGCCTCAGCCTTCAAGGACAGCTGTGGAGAGGGAATGGCATCTTGCCAGAGTAAAGGCCCTCTGATAGTTAGGTACTTTAAGATTAGTTACATATGCAATAGGGAAGACAGAGTACCTGTTGGGTTCACAAGACGATAAAGGCCGGGACCTGGTTAGATCCAGTTGCATTGGATTGGCCTGACCATATCCCATGCTGAGTAGAAGATACTGTGTGTGTGGCTCAGTGCCATGTTGAACTATTCTTCTGTGAATGTTTTTTTCTCAGAGGATCCTGTCTGATTCCCAATGAACAATCGTGGTCCAACCCAATATTGTGAAAAACAAGACATTAACTTAAGCAAAATCCATATAATGTCATAATGTCTTGTCTTTGTAGAAAAACAGCTGGTAAAGAAAACTATCTTACATCTTTCAGGCTGATGCATGCCATGCTTACCAAATTGTGCACCGGAATGGTATACCAGATGAACGCATCATTGTCATGATGTATGATGACATTGCTTATAATGATGAGTAAGTAGTAAACATTTAGCCGTGCATATCATCTTTGCAACAATGCTACATATAAAGTCACAAGGTTTTTTTTCTCATAAAGTCTCAATTTCACAACAGTAACTTTCGCTTACTGTTTGAATAAGCCTCACATACAGTAATTTTTTCAGGCACACTCCACAACCAACTCATTTGGGCTTACCCAACTGCCTTTATCTATTTTTCTCAGGAAACAAAAACACAGCTTGCATTCCACTGGAATGATCAGTACAGATAGTCCTCAACTTATGACCAATTGTTTAATGACTGTTTGCGGTCATGACAGCCTCACTACGGATACTTTACAGCCCTAAGGCAAGCCATCATATAGTCTTGCACTGAGTCCCCCTAGTCCCATAAACGCATGTTGAGTGCTTGACAACCTGTTCTCATTTACAGTTAGTATCCTGCAATCATGTGATTGCCATTTGCAATCTTCTCTGTCAGCTTACCCAAAATGTCAGTGGGAAAGCCATTAGGGAATGTTGCAAACAGAAGGGACGTTGGCTTTGAGGTCTATTTCCCCTCCCCTCTGCAGGGAAGAGAAATCTTCCACCATGTTGGAGGAATAAACCTCAAATCTGGCGAAAATACTCCATAATACTACTTAAAATGATATCACATAAAAACTATGATCTATAGATAAGGAAAGGATAATATTTTTCACAGGGACTGGATAAGTGGTAAGATAATGAACTAATGTTAAGAATACCAAAGATTTAGGGGGGTTTACTACCTCAGCAAACAAGATATGTGTATCTAAAAGTCTGGAAATGCTATGTGTATTTTTATTTTTTTGTTACCTGGAGGCTAACAATCATCATCATCATGAAATTGGAGGAAAAAGGTAATTAAGGGAGAAAGTTTAATGGATCAGGATGGGGAAATTGGCTTCCCTGAAAGAAAAACTAGATTTTCCTCAAAGATTAAATCCTTATTTAGCATAAGACTTGCTTTGTAGAAGGTTCTGCTTTCGAAAGCAGTTAATGTTCATGTTATGAAATCTCTTAGAGATTATGATATTTTATGTGTGCATGTAATATTCACACTCTTTTTCCATTTCCAGCAATCCAACCAAAGGGATTATTATTAATCGACCAAATGGCACAGATGTATACAGAGGAGTAATAAAGGATTACACAAATGATGTAAGTGTCTGATTTCCTTGCATGATGATATGGAACAGAGGAGCTAATTGGGGCTCAAACAGTGCTCGATGTTATAAAAGCAGTAATTAAACCCAAATAAAAAAATATTGTACATCCAAATAATAAGAGTGCAAACTATGGAAAATGCTATTTCATTTAGGCTTTTATGCTCCTGAAGGCCATTTTAATCCTGGACTCCACACTTTGTTTTGTTACCTCAGGCCATTCAGTTGGCACATACCTTCTCTGCTCTCATCATTCTCTCCAGCAGACTTTTTTTTTTTTTTTTAAGATGGGAGTCACATCCTATACTGTACTTATCCCTCTGGTTGAGAAACATTGCTGTTGCTTACGTATAATGAAGGTGTTATTATATTATATATAATAATAAAGGCAGGATACAAATAAATTAATAGATATGCTGGTTATGGATTGTTTGCTACAGATTCAGAACAAAGAGCTCATTTCAGTTTTCAATTTGTACTGATCTATAGGATGTTACGCCAGAGAACTTCCTTGCCGTGCTAAGGGGTGATGCTGAAGCAGTAAAGAATACAGGATCAGGAAAAGTATTACGAAGGTAATAGGAAAAAGGACAGACTAGGTTCCCAAAAGATGACTTCGTTGCTAATGTAATTTTATAGACTTTATTTATTTTATAAATAAGTGATGAGTTCCTTTGTGTTT